CGAGAAAGAGTCTCCTGGTGTGCCTCGATCTGAGCCTTGAGTTCGGGGGTCATGGGCACGATGCGGCTTCCGAGCATGACCTCGGAGCAGCGGTCGATGATCCGCTCGGGTGCACCCTTCATGACAACCAGCCTTTCCCCGTCGGGCTTGTCCTCCTGCTTCACCACGTGCACCTGTCATGGTCATGGTCATGGTCACGGCGATGGTGGCGGTTAAGGTGACAGCGGTGGGAATGGCGACGGCGGTGGTGGTGGTGGTGAGGGTGGCCGTTGTGGGAATGGTGGTGGTGATAGTGGAAATGGTTGATGGTAATGTTATTGACAATGGATGATGATGGTGTGGTGAAGATACGGATGGGAGTGTTCGCCCCACCAAAAGTGTCAAGACGGGGCAGAAATGGGGGGGGGGGTCAGGAGTTCACAGAGCCGGCACACGTACAAAGCATAGTGCGGGTGATGCCACACCAACGGATGGTACACAGGATTGGTTTCACGGGATTGATTCCACGGGATTCCAAGAACGACACAACACGAGTCCCACTATTATACTGCTGTCAATGTGAACAAATGTGCGGAAACGCGTGTGTTTTATTCTTGTTAGCATCAACCGCGCTGACCGGCTGACCAATGAAAAGACACCAGTCTCCTCCTGTGTGTTTGAGTGTATGGATCCATCCGTATGCTACAAGTGTCCTTCGGGCAAAACCAAGAGAAAAAGCACATCGCCCATTCCACCCATGGATCACAGGATCGCAGGAGTTCAAACACGCACACGACGGACGCATGACCCGATTAATACCTGGTACTTGTTCTTGGAGTTGAAGGGGATCTTGAAGAATGTTGGGGTTTGCTGCACGGTAGTCGTCTATGTCGCGGAATTCCTGCACGAACTTGATCATGGCGATCCTCGGACGCGTTTCCCACCGCCTTCCACGCCACCACCTATGTGCAAGGATGTTCATTGGAAAAAACGGGGACACACAAAGAGAGAAGAAGAGAGACAGAGAGAGGGAGGGCCGAGAAAGATAGGAGAGACAGAGGGGGGAAGGAAAGAGAGAGAGACAGGGGGAAGGGGGAGAAAAGATTTGGGAGCGAGATAAGGATCCGTACATGAGATGCATCTGATAGATGAGGTAGATACAAATATAAACATTGTCAGAAGAAGAGTCCAACCAAAGCCGAACAGATACATGCTTGTAACAGGAAACCGATCTACAACTTCCTCAGATTATTTTTGAAACAGACAGCTCAAACGAACAAATCGACATCGTCTAAAAAAACACGACACCAAAACAAGACTACGAGTCCACCCCAGGCAAGTATATTACCTATATCTAGACTCACGCGAATTGACAAAGAAATACAAAAATGGAAATGGCGCCGCCTGTACAGTACTTCTGCACGGCGAAGGGGCGTGTGACTGACGACTCTACTTCGATCGTGCCCAAGAAAAAACCCCGTCAAAAACGCAGCACGGACAAAAAACGAGCATGTAACAAAAAAGAGGTAATTCATCGTGTCTCGCGCACAGGACTGCCCACAAACGCAAAGAAAGTAAGCTTCTTGCGAGAAAAGACCAGGCAGGGGGCACGCAGACCATAACCCTAACCCCTAGTTGAGCCAATTCTATCATTTATCCAGTACAGTAGGTTTGCTTTCTTAGAAAAACCTGGGTAGAGTATTGCGTGTGCATGCATGCACGCACTCATACATCCACATCGCCTATCGCCCACCTCGATGGCAGAGCCGTCTCCCTGGACCTTCATCTTCTTGAAAGGAACCGGTCCGTTCTGGTTGGACTTGGAGTCTTCCTGGAACACCGACACGTTGCAGAGGGTGGCGCAACGCTGCAGGCCCTTGAATCCCGGGTCGTTCTCATCGTAGGTTGAGTTTCCCTTTGTGAAGGACGACGCGCAGTCCTGCGAGGGGCATTATTAAAAAAGAACGTCGGGGACGGGGACCGGGGGGGGTAGCCGGTTTGTCAAAAAGGGGGCGGGAGGAGGAGGAGGAGGAGGAGAGAGTGGTAAATCGAGCAAAGAGCTCTGTCTCTGTCTCTGTCGCTGTCTCTGTCTCTGTCTCTCTCTCTCTCTCTCGGTTCTCGGCACGTACAAGACACGACGGACATGTTAATGGCCTTCATGACGCTTTTTCTCTTCTTGTATGCATATCGCGACTCTGTCAGATATCCTGGACCATGAGCTTTCACACCGTTCGGTTTATGCTTTCTGGACGCACCAGCCTACTCTGATTTTTGTCAGCCTGTTGATGTTAAAATCAGGCGTAACAACGAAAGTCCACGTTCAACAACAACAGAGTCCCTAGAGCACCCCTCCCTCGCACGCGACCTCTCAACCGTACAGTACCGATGGTGCCCTATCAACGGCAACAGCGTTGACCCCTTCACGTAAGCCGTAGCCTCTCCACCGACCAACCTCGATGTGAGTCCCATCCTCCTGACCGTACACGATCTGCGCCACGGTCATGATGTTCTGGGTCAAGGTACCCGTCTTGTCGGAGCAGATGCAAGACGTGGAACCAAGAGTCTCGACACCCTCCAGGTTCTTCACCAGAACCTGCTCGCCGTTTTGTAGTTTTGGGATGACAAGACAAGACAAGCCAAGACAAGACAACGACAAGAGGTGG